AGAGAAAAAAAAAACTAAAAGAAAAGGAAAATGCTGATTTTTGTTAGTTTCAGTAATGCTGCCCTTTTCTCTGCCTCAGAATTTTGAAAAAAGGAAGTTTGTTTTTCATTTCTTAGTTTTTTTTTTTCTCCTTCTAAATTACAGTTTGACCAGCTCTAAAACCTACCCTGAATTTTAGGAAGACTGGGCTAGAGTACTGTGCATATATTTAAAAGATTTTTAAAAATCCCTAGGTCCAGTGTCAATCTTAACAGAGCTGACTAGCATTTTTATCTTTACTTTCAAGCACTGTTTTTGTGTTTGTTTTTTTTTCTTGCTGTGCTTTGAGGGACCTTGAGACTTCCTATGACTTGGCCACCCTGCCTGTTGGCTTACCCAATGGTGGAGTTCAGAAATCCAGTGATCTCTGAGAACTGGGGCCAGTCAAGCTCGTCGGTGAAAGCCATTGGGAGATTAGCAAATGATTTCTGAAAGATAAATTTTTAAATCAACATGGTGTTACTCTCACAGACAAAAATTCTTTTCAGCAAACTCGAGCACTTCCTAGCTGGAGCATTAGCTGGACAGCAGCAATTGTAACTATAGCTGTAGTGGTAATTATTTATGCATATACTTAAAAGGTCGGCTCTTGTAAGATGGACTTATCAAGAGGCGGAGGAAGGAAAAGCAGAAGAGATATCTGAATCACATCTCCTGGTGCCCTTTAATTCTGGATGAGCCCAAAACTCCTGACGCAGAGCACGTACTGCAGATGCAGACTACCAAGGCAGCAGCTATTCGCTGCGGCATCTGTCCCGTCCAAAGGTGGGTCTCCTTGGGCACAGGAAGAGATGACAGCATGATGTCCCCAGCATATACAGCAGAGGGATAACGTCAAATTCACTCAAAGCTCCCTTGTCCTCTTCAGCAGGATGCAAGCATCCAACCCCCTAAAAACTTCTGCCTGGTCCTCACTGCAAATTTTGGGGACAGCACTGAAGCAACAGAGTCAGAAAGACCTCTGAGCACAGTGGGGACCAGGGAGAAAAACACATGGTCTGCCATAACCTTCCCACGCAAATAGATACAACCTTTACCCTTCTCTGCTTTTGCTGGTATTAGTCCCTAACGCTTTTTTTAAGCGACTGCCTCTGCGAAAGCCTCTATGCAGATGCAAGCCCTGTTGCACATTCAAAACACAGTGCCCTGTTCGTTTCCACTTTGATTTCTGAATGTGTCAAAAATCATGAAAGGCGAGAAAAATGGCCTCGAGAAATTGCGCCACCTCAGAAGGACGAGAACATGGAGTAAATTTTCAGCTTCTCCTAGTCTGGGGTATGCTCGCAAAGACAAATGCATAAATCCAGTGTGCTCATACTGAAAAACTGTTTATGAAAAAGGCAATAACCAAAAGAAGGTCAAAACATAAAATCAGAGAACTTACAGGCTGGTTTAATCCATGTAATTTACTAGCTTCATTTTCTTTTCAAGCAATTCTGGGGTTTCCTTAAACCTTCACTGCTATAAACAGCAAGCAGGTGTGTAATTTTTTCTCCAGGAGGGTCAGAGGTAACTGAGGAGCCACAGACGAGCTGAATCTTGTGGTCCCCACTAACTCGTCATTCCCAGAAAATTATCGTTTAGGTGAATGGGAGCTACGTTTGAGTATATGCCTACGGGTTTTGACTGGAAGAGGATGGGGGGAGACGCAGGGAAAGGGGAGGAGAGGTGAGAAAAGGAGGGTTGTCGAGGGGAAGAAATCCTGAAGCCAAGCTCTGAGCAGCCTAATGCACAGCAGATGCCAGTTTAAAGCATGTAACAGCATATTTGACCTACTTACAGTGGATCTTCATTAGTTACCAAGGTGAAAATGGGTCTGGCTTAATTATCTTTCAGTTAGTTCTCTCTCTCTCTCTCACATACATCTATGTGTCCTCGTGTGTCTCTGTATATATGTATGCACATATATATAGAAATGATTATTTTTTTAAGACTGGAGGGAAATTCCAAATCTGCCTTCTTCAAATCTGATAGTTTCATGTGCAGACAAGTGCTTAATCCAAGGGCACAGTTATGAGCAGAAGTGGAGGAGTACAGTATGGCTTGGCCATTTGCAATATTGGCTTCCTCATAGCTTTGCATTAAAGTGACAGAAATCTTGAAATAGTCACTTAGCATAGAACAAACTATAGATATGATCTCTTATAAGCCACAGCATATAAGAGTATAAAAAGAGCCCAAAAAATGATTAAATATTTTTAAAACAAATCCTCCTGTGACCAATTCTCTCATTATTTCCTGTTGGCACTCCAAAACAATATTTTCGTTGGACAATTCCCAATAATTTTTAATTGTTTTGTTATTTTTTTCTCTGCAAACTTAGCTTAAATATGAATTAGCCAGAACCTAATTGAGTTGCAAATTGGTTTGGAAAGGAACATTTGAGCCCAGAATTATAGTTGCATTTGAAAACTGTATATACGTTTAGCATTGACACTGTTCCAGCAAAGCACTTAAAGCCAGACTGTTGAAGATATTTCAGGACCGAAGGGTGAAGATGAGTAGTTAATGGAAATTTCAGAAGAATGCTAGACCTTGAACTCTGCAGTGATGTAGTTTGGAAAGCATGGTCTAACAGACTGCGTTTCACTTAGTCTCAGATGCAAATGTGTCCCACTCTAGAGGTGGATCTACGTTGACTTTTAGCTTAAAACTCTTCTGAGCACAGCCTTGTTTAAATACCATTCTCTAGACTATTCTGGCTGAGAAACCATGCTTCAGCCTACATGCCAGATTTTAGCAGAGGATGATTAGAAAGTTATTCCAGCCTAGCTTCAAATGCCATATTTTAGCCTCAAATGCTCTAGATGGGTCTCATTTTGAAGGAACGTCCTCACCTCCTAAGCCATGGGTGATGCTAAATGCACACATGCCAAGCTGCACTTAAATGGAAGAAGGTTCAGGGTTGCTATGGCAAGAAGTTTTCAAAATCAGAACACAAAAGGGCGTTGGAAACCTAATGCTCATATAAGCCTTTAGAAATGCCAGTCCCAGAAACCCCCAAAGCACTGAAGTATCCCTTAATTTGAAGGGGAACTGGGTACTTGTTTTTATACTGATTTTAATGCTGTTCAAATCCTCATGATAGCATTAAGTACCACAGACAACTTTTTTATTCTAAGTATACAAATAAGTAAGCCTTAGAGCTCTTGAGGAAAGCACAGCCTATCTTTTTAAAAAGCATGTATGGCATTTCGACTCTGTAAAGCTGCAAGGGACATAGGTTTGAAATTAGCAAAATTATTACCTTATTTTCCCCAAAATGCAGCTTCTTAGTCATCACAATACTAGCTGGGAGAAACTTGCCTGCAATTCACTGGATTTAGAGGGAAGTTAGAGAATGTTTTTAATAAGATTTTCGCAGATCAAACTCCTGTTTTTTCTACTGATGCAAAAAAAGAAGTCAGTGGGATAAGTGTTTGGGACATCCTGAACCTGCACTTAAAGAAAAGCTGAATTCTTTTAATAGGAAATATACAGTATGAAACAGTTACTTTAAAGAAACCTAAGAACCCCTTGAATTTGTGGGCAAATAGATATTTACTGGATTACAGACAGATGCGGGATTTATTTTTCTCTTTATTCAGCATGAAATAGAGATCCAAGGGTTTTAAAATGCATCTTCCTAGAAAGGGTATAATTTGCAGCACATTTATAAATACAGTGCTTTTATCTCCAGATAAAATTGTCTCTAAAATGAGATTTGAAAGTAAGCTTCCATCCCAGACATATAACAGAAAAATGCTGCATTTAGTAGCTATTTGGAAGTCAATTGTAAGCAGATGGACAGACCAGCAGGAGCACAATATCCATCACTAGACACACTGGTGTTTTCAACATTAGCTTTCTGCAAAACCCATCCACTTCAAAAAAATACCCAGTATTTCTTCGGCTTTGCTAAACCTCATAAAGTGCATGTCTACTGCATTACATTTCATTTTTAGTGTCCGCATTTTCAGATTGAAGGACTGAACATTCAGCTCAATTCTTGCTGAACCTTTTAAAAGAATAAAAGCCTGGCAAACCCAAAACTATTGACAAGCAGAAAGCCAAAATAAAGTTGACTCACCCCTTCTTACAGCTGTATAATTCTCTTCCTGTAATTGTACTCTGGGTGTTTGGGGCTTTACAGGAGCGATGGCAGGTTAAGAACAGAGCCACGCACTCGGTTGCCTCTGCAGGAACATGCAGGCAAATATCCTCAGTGATGGTCCCAACATCATTTTCTCTGTCTTGCTGCACCTCAGCTAGATCCATGTAGGGCAGACTTTGGGACTCAGCGGTACCAGGTTGGTCAAAAACTTCAAAATCAAGGTACCTGCAACTTCCCCTAGTGCTACATAGGGTGGGGTCGTTTTTTTGATGTTTTGGGGTTTTTTTTAACTAAAGAAATAAGTTGCCTGAGCTATAGCTTTCAAAGATGTGTCCATCTTGTGATGGACATTTTCCACACCAAGTAGTGTCTCCATACGCTCTTCGTGGGAAGAACATACTCTGAGAGGGACGGTAACTGTATTTGTGACTGGCTCCTAGGTAAAGGCTTTGGAAATACCACTGGAAAACATGAGTACCCACTCTGATATAGTGCACGTCTCAAGCTTGGCAACAGATGAAATGGGCTGGGGGTGCCTGCAAACAGCCCCCAAAACAGCCTCCTTGATGACTGCAGGAACATGATTCAGGTCTCTGCATTTGGTCACTTAGGTTTAAGAAAACAGGAAGACCAGAAAGGCACTGGGGGACTTGATATGGGACAAGTGAATGATGCAACTTGATGCATTCATTGACATGGAATGTATGACAGGAGCATGTCCCCCTGCACTGGACTACATGGCTGGTTATTACCATGTGAGAGGCCAATGCCAAGAGGGCAGTAGGTTCCCAGTTAGACCGAGAAATCCAAAATCCAGTATACAACAGCTTCCCAACAACGGTCTTCAAGACAATGGTGCAGGCATCTGAATTCCAAAGCTGTTCAGCCCAAATACCCATCTGGTTACGCCCGTGCTAATCATCCAGTTACTCAAACAACACCCTGAGCCTGCTTCAGTGAGGAAATTTCTCATTCACATTCTCTTTCTCCCTCATTCATCATTACTGCTCCTTTGCATGGTAGACTCTGGGCAGCATAATCAGGGAAAGCAACCATTCTGCAGAGCCTCTTCACTAAATTCTCAGCATCTCTCCTGAAAAGGTATTTCCCCACCTAATTAGCTTTAAAACAGGTATTAACAGCTGCCACTGATGTGGTGCTGATCAACAGAAGGGCCCACAGCATTGCTACCAAGTGTAAATTTTACTTTACACTGGTATACATAAACACTTGTATATGTTAACATGTATAGGGATAAATATAAATAAGAAATATATGAAATATATAAAGTATATAAAATAGATATGTAAAAATATAGAAAAACATTAAAGTAATAAAATAATACACTTAATAAATCTGAATTAACAGGTACACAACTTTTTCCTTGTACAGATGCTAAAAAACCTAGATGGGGTCAGGGGGTGAAGTCCAACTTGGAATTCCATGTAGAGTGTTGAGGTTCCATTGAAATGGAAATTAAAGCTTTGAACTGACTCTAATATTGACTGTAGAGAAAACCGTTTGATAAACTAATTTTTCTATGTGCCTTATCAAAGAAATTTTGGCAGAATCAAAGGGAAGTGTCTTGACAGCACAGGGGAGCAGCAGGTACATGAGGCTAATGCTTTACTCTCTCCTCTCAGAGCCCTATCTTCAAATTCTTGCTGTGGTCCCAGATTAAGGGTGTTTTCTGTGAGATTAGGACATAGACTCTCCACACTCTCTCTGGTCAGAAAATCATACCTGGATGTGCTTAGAAATTCTCCTTGAGGAAAGCCTTGCACTGAAAAAGGATTGAAGCCAATTAATTTGTTAATTAAACTACAGATGAAGGATATTTGCCAGTGGTATTTAATACTACACATCAAAAGACAACAGTATTGTACTTTCACAGCCCTGAGGCAGATAAATTGCTGCTATTGCCATTCTACACACAGAAAGCAAGACACAGAGGACAAGCAAGAGGAAGAGACAAAGTCTGAATTAGCTCAGAGATTTTTTTGCTAGCACTTTTGTGCTCAGGCAACAACTTTCTTACTTAAGGCGAGCTGCAAATTAAATAACTTTTTACTATCGCTAGAGCTTAAACACAGATACTAGGGTCTTTTTTTATACGATTGAAATCTCTGTACCTCTGCATTAATATTTAACTGCTGTATTTTGCTAGGTTGGTAGGAAAGCTTGCAAACAGTCCTAGAAAAGAACCTGTTCTTTCCTATCCTGAATCTCACATACCCCAGACACCCAGGCGGCTGTGCAGTGCACTACCGTAGAGCTCAGCTAGCTGTAGCAGGGCTGCATTTTCTGCAAGGTCATTAGCCCAGCTCTGCTCTGCCCTGGGTAGCTATAACTGACTTTTTCAAGTTCATCTACATTACCAGCATACTGTGCCATACCCCTGTCAGAGGTTTGTCTGACGCTGCCCAGCTCAGGGTGCCCAGCGTCTGAAGAGACATAAGGTTATCAATACTGTCCTCTTTTACCTTCTTCTGCTAGCTCCAATAAGTGGTATTTTAAGCAATACCGTAATACATCCATTCCTTACTGGGCTTAGAACAGATGTCAGCCCTGCTGCCTTGTACTGGTGCACGAGAGATCTCTCGTGGGACTGGCTTGCAACAGCTCTGGGTCTGCATGTGAAGTCCAGGCTTCTCTTTTACTTACTCATATATTGTGTTTTAGCTTCTCCAATTCCAGTGATGCCTTAACTCCTTTTATTTTATATACTGTGAGTGGAGTGACTACAAAAGGTCAGAGAGTGAACACATCTCTCTTTGCCCTCCTTGCCCCCGTGCAGGGCACTAGCTCTAACCTGGAGTCACCCTTTCTGCAAAGGAAAGCAGCCCACTTCTCCCTTTCCAACCGGTCCTTGATCTTCCCCACACACTGGCCAGATGGAGCTGAGCACTGAAAGCATGTATTTGTTGAGCCTTACACAGAGAGCACCAGTTCCCTTCCTGTGCAAGCTGCTCTACACCCATCAGACAGTAACAAGGTGCCATCAAAACTCACTTTATAATCTGCACTCCAGCTCCCAACCTTGAAGCTTCTGCCTCTGCGTGCCATTACCAGCCCTCGACCCATCCAGCTAGTGGACCAGCAAGCTTCAAGCGAGAGAAATGCTTTCTAAACCTTCATTACAGTGATAATAAAACGCTGACATAGTCTAAAACTATTCTTGGCTACACGGCTCTGCTACTAGCGTCACTGACAGAATCATCATCACCATCAGTATTATTACCATCTTTATTAGACAAGATAATCTCAATTATCATTAGTGGTAATTTATTATGCTCATCATCAGCTCTGTCATCAGTGTCATTCGTTTAATCGTTGCTCATAAACGTTTAACAAAGAAAAACAACTGCTAATCTGCAACATTTAAATCAGCTTAGCTCTGGGAGCAAAAGTGGGAAAATACATGAAACTCTCAGACCTCCAACAGCACCGTAACTACTGACATTTTGGAATAAGTATTGTTCTCCAGAAAATGTCCATATCCTTCTTCTACAGGAGCCAGTGGAGGTGTAGCAGGTTTTCACCAAGGAAGGTGGGCATTGACGACCTATCTGCTCACCCCCGTGCAACAGGCTCTTGTGCAGAGAAGGACAACGCACAGTCCTCCCTGGCTACGGAGTGACACCGGCTCGGGATAGGAAACAACAGCGAAGGACAGGAGCATACCTGCACATTTGTCTCCACCCTGCAATTGCGGTTTGCTGGAATGATGTTTTCCCTTCAATTATTTCATTCCACGCCAGTGAACTGCAACAGTTGAGGCTCAGCATCATTCCCAGTCAGGCGCATTTTGTTGTTGTTTGAAAATGGGAAATGCTGGGATACTGCCCAAAGATAGACATCAGTGTGGTAGTGATATTTTATGGTCACTACAGAAACTCTTCCCTTTAGGACAAGTCCATTATAAACCCTTGGATGACCCTCAAACACCTGCAGATGTATTTGTTCAACAAGCCTCAGAGCCTGAATGCTGAAGTTACTAGACCTTTTTCACATATGCCACAGAAGAGGGAAAACAATCCAGGACCCATCATTTCAAAGCCAGATGCCTAAAACAGAAGCTCCTGGACTGTCAGCAGGGTCACTTCTGCAACACTTGCACAGCAAGGAGCCGTACCAACAAGCCCGCTAACGGCAGGACTGATCCCACAGGCAGCATGGGTCTCCTTGAGCCGCAGGCACGTGCGTGGAAAGCCAGATGTCCTGGTTTGCGTCCCTGGCACAGCACTGGGCCACCGAAGCCAAACTGTTCCCTGACCCAATTGCACAGATGTCAGAGGAGCAGCAGTAGCGCAGGGCTATGCTTTTTTATCTTCAGAAGAGCAGCTGCAGGAGGGGACTGACACACGTGAGACCATAACGATAAATGTGCATGCAATGAGGCATTTTGCACTTGTTTCCCTTTGGCAACCAGCAGTATAGTGGTTTTGGCAACCCAAACATGATTCCTCACCGCTGACATCTGCATGACGGTCATCCACTCGGGAGGGATGTGGAAGTGAGCGCCGGCCGAGTCTCCCAACAGCACGACCCCTTGTGAGTCCGCACCTAATTAATGCATTTTGTTAGTTGCATGAGCAGAAAGAGCAAACCAAAACAGAGCACGGAGAGCAATGCTTAAAGAGCAACAGCAATGGCAACTGATGGAGTCATGAGGTGACTGGCTACACCACTCTTCACATGGCTGAAATGTTCAGACCCTGCAATGGGATTTTCACTCCATCTGCAGCAAAAACTGGCTATCAGGCATGTGCCAACAACCCTAAAGAAAAAACCAGGGACTGGGCATGAAAAACAGGGAGAGGTCTTTCTAATCGGAAAAAATCCTGGTTGTATTCAAGGATGGATGTGTTATTTCAGCAGAGGCTCTGCTGTGCAGCCAACATTTATTTTTACTACCCTAGAATATGCATTAAAAAGTACTTAAACATTTAGGGAAATCGGATTACTCAGGAAATTGCTCAAAGCTCCTTATAACAGAACTGGGTGGTGGATGTGCTACTCATATGAGTATTTCTGCTAGAACAATCTGGCTGGTTTATAATTAATGTTACTTAGCATTTGTAGAGTGCCTTTCATCTAAAAATGTTGAAAAGTCTTGCCAGGCAATGGTTCATCCCTGGGATGCTGATTTAAATGTAAGGCAAGGTGAGCAGCAACTGCAGTCATGGCTGTTCAGAGAGGGTGTTGTTTGTGCACATGTGTATACACAGGCACCCACGTTGCTGTCGGGGAGATCAGCTGATGCCATTACTTCACCTCTTTAAGGCCTTATCTGGAAAAGTATCAGCATGATTGCCGGTATTTATGGCAACGGGTCAAACTGGACAAACACGGATGTTAAACTGCTCTCCCGAATCCCAAGGCCATCCCTCTGCGTTAGGCTTCAGGCACCACGGAAGATGCTAGAGGTAACATCTCCATTTGTTGCTGTCCCTGATCTATCTATTTCGACTTAATAACTGAGCTGGCTTTTACCGGGAAATTACCATCAGCCTGTGCTTTTCATGTTTCATCTTTGACCATCCTCAGGATAAAAAAAAAAAAAAAAAGATTTTGCTATTTTACCTTTCTCATGAAGTTGTAAAACCTGTTGTCTTTTCCCT